ATATTTTACTAGAAGACGTCTTGGATTAGTTTTGAACTTTCCATCATAAAAAACCTTGTCAATCCCACTAGTTAGCAGATAATTGTCTGTCATCCAGGTTGCTTATATTAATATCTAGAGTTCTGGCCCTAATAGCCAAAAGCACATAATCTTCTGATTAAAATGTTGGATTTCCTTCAAGTTGGATCCAAGGTTATCTAAGTGTCCTAGAAGAAATTATGCTCAAATGTATTCTCAAGTATTTCTGGGTAGCCTCTCAGGATCCTTAAATATGACATGTTTGAATGCGAGAATATGGATAAATGAATTGATCTTTTCAAATTTTATCCCGTATCAATACTGGTAGACAGTTTATTTGAAGAAAGGAAGGTTCATTTATTAATACATGTACAGTAGTTAGAGATGGCTTCACAAATCTGTTGAATGATATTGACTACGGATCTTCTTTGTCAACAGATAACAAGGTTTTTGTAGATTTAAATTAAACTGATGAAGGGGGAATGGTTGGAGGATGAGAAACTTCAACAGCTCCTTCTAGCATCTGTGAGACTCTCTTCATGGTGGGCCTTAAAGACGGATCTTCTTGAATGCACCAAATGGCAATCATCACAAACCTCTCTACCCTCTTAATGTCCTGAATTGCCTCTTCATCCTCCTGAACCAGCAGTTACAGTCTCCCTTCTTCATAGCAATCATATGCCCAGTCAGCCAATATCATTTGGTTTTCATCCTCTGAATCTTGCTCAAAACTCTTCCTACAACAAATGAGCTCTAGCAGCAGAATCCCAAAGCTGTAAACGTCAACCTTGATTGTGACAGGCTTGTTCTTGAACCACTCAGGGGCAACATATCCTTTTGTTCCCCTAATTGCTGTAACAGTTCGAGTCTGGCCTGTCTTCAAATGTTTTGCTAATCCAAAGTCAGAAATTCTTGCTGTCAAGGAGTCATCTAGTAGAATATTTTGAGGCTTGATGTCACAATGTATGATCTGGGTGCTGCACTCCTCATGTAAATAAACAAGCCCTCTTGCAGTTCCAAAAGCAATTTGAGCTCTTTGATACCAACTGGGCCTTAAATTTCCAAAAAGGTAAGATGCTAAAGATCCATTACTCATGTATTCATACACCAAAAGCCGATGTTGTCCCTCATTGCAGAATCCTAGCAGCTGAACTAGATTCTTATGTTTTGTCTTGCTAATTGCACTTATTTCTGCCTGAAACTCCAGCTCGCTTTCTGTCATCATCTTGTCCAATTTTTTTATGGCGACCATGTTCTTGTTACCAATGTCAAGAACTCCTCTGTAAACTGTTGAACAAGCACCTTTTCCAAGTTCTTCTTTGAATTTATTTGTAGCTTCCACAAGCTCCTTGTATGAAGCTTCGCAAACTTGTGCCTTGGTTTGCTCTGGAAGATTGAACCTGAAGCATCCTTCTTTCCAATAACACAAGCGTGAAACAAGCCAAAGAGTAGCAATCAACAGAACAAGGTTCAAAAATGATGAGCTACTTAAGAGCATAGTTAGAGTAGGAATCAGAGTTGACCTCTCCTTATTTGAACCAAAGGGTGAACCCTCTCTTGAACTCCCGTCAATCGAACCCTCCCTTGATCCTCTGTCAGGAGATTTGTATGTTGAATTGTCTTTCCTTATTTTGATCAATGTTTTTCCACCAAGGTTAGGATCCATTCTCCCATCAGAAAGAGGAAATTTCTTCATTGTACATTCACCATCTTTAAAGACTGCAACAGGACAAAAACAATCAGTCAAGCAGGATTGCCGACACCAATCCTCAGTAACGTCTTTAAAATATCCATAATCTGTTCCTGGCCAATCCATGTTGAGCTTATCCCTGAATTCAAAATTATCTGCATCTTGGTTTCCTTTGCAATCTTGTGAGATGAAATCCTGTTTGCACCCTCTCATCTTATCATCTGGATCAAAGAATGAGTATCCAGGTGGGCACTCGCATCTAGGCCTCTGATCATCTCCAAGACTACAGTAGCTGTTGAACCCGCAAGGACCACTACTTTGTGATTCCGTAAGTCTTACGCAGATAGTTCCAGGTTCAAAGTACTGCATCGACCAGTTCATAGGACTACTAGCAGTAGCATTGTTGTTCCTTGGATAGACATAATGCCTGAAGACCCCATCATATTCTAGGATTGCTCGCTGGTAGTAGTCCCTAGATGATGAAGCTCCATTTGATGTCATAAAGCGGAGTGTGCTCCCATTTTGATCTTCTAGGTAGAGATAGCCAGATTTGTTGAAGACAAACTGGAAGCCTGCGTTTACAGTCATGGTTGCCCAATAAGCACTGGTCACTGTATCCAGTGGGAAGTTTGTGCCATAGAGTACAAGATTTCCATCCAATTGCATCTGAAAGTAAATTTCCCCATGAATAATTCATCTCTGCATAACGGGAGAAAAGACGGCTGCCTTTTTTCATTATTTGTGCAGGTACTATTGTGTCAGTTGGCAGATTAAAACTCTCCCACAAGAAGATGGAGTCCTGGCTCGACAGCACAAGGTTTCTTGTGTCGAGCATTGCTGCATATGAAACAACACCAGAGCCAGTCAATTTAGCAGCCCATACTTCCTCTCCTCTTGTGTCACTGAGGCTGAACTGGCCATCTGTTGTAAGTTGAATTTTGGATCCTTCTTCCACCAGCTTTTCACCATTGGCTGACCAGAAAATGGTTTTTTGAGGTATTTTGTCGAACCACATGGCAAGCAAGAACTCACCAGCTCTTATTTGTTGGAATCCAAATGCGAAATCACCAGATGGAGATTTCCAGGAAGAATTTATATTGAGTGCTGCAGTTAACGAGGAGCCCAACGTTATATTCTGGTTTGTTTGAGCTACAACATAAACTGGCAGCAGGAAAAGTAGAATGAGATAGAGAGAATATGGAGAAGAAGAGGCCATGAATGCAGGTGCTATTTCTCTTGTGTGACAAATCAAGGCTCTTGCTGAAGGTAAATTTATAGCAAGAGAAAAAGTAGCAGGTGGGAAAATTCAGGTCTTTCGAACCATTTTTCTAAGCTAGGGCTTTGAAAAGTATTCTCCCCTATTCTTTATAGCTGACTGATAATGAACTCAGTGATCCTAAACTCTGCATTTCCCTATCCTGAGGGATGGAAGTGGGCTCAGATTTCCACAAATTGTGTCTAGAAAATGAAAGAATAGATTGTTAAAGTGCTGGATTTCATAGAGGGTGTTAACTGGGAGATTTTTCTCATGCAAGGGTTGATTATGTTGATTTTTCCTATAAGATTTTTTTTTTTTTTACAAGAATAATGATTAAGAGTTAGAGGTTAATACTTTATTTTTTTGACAAAATTCAATCACTAATCAAAATACATTCCATTGATAACCCTTTGAGCTGCAGTGGTACCACTGCACCACAACAATAGGAGAATGCTTCTTAGAAGACTTGGAAAATGTCATATTCTGTTGACTGGACAAGCACTCTTTATGTACTGATTTCTTATTAGACTATTTTTTGCACTGCGTCTCAGAGGTCCCATATCAAAAGTAAAAGATTCTATTAACGGGTCTATTTAATCTTGGAGATCACGTCAATGTCAACGGGTCCCATTAAAGCCAACCTTTGATTTTAAGTATTGTGTTGGGGTCTTATAATGCATGTACATGGCACAAAACCAAATTTTGAGACTTGATTTTCAAACTTAAACAGTTGATTTTTAAAGTGAATGTGAAGACTTGATTTTTAAAGTTAAATCATTGATTTTTAAAGTGAATGTGACGACTTGATTTTTAAAATTAAATCAATATTAAAGTTATAAGACTTGATTTTCAAAGTTAAATCTTTGATTTTTAAAAGTAAATGTGAGGACTTGATTTTCAAAATTAAATTATTGATTTTAGAAGTAAATGTGATATTAGTTGGATTCTATAGTTGTTGTGTTTCGTTTCTAATTAAATTTTTTTGGCCCAACTAATTTATGTGTTTTTATGCATTTTATGAGTATAATATTTTTAACCTATTACCCAAATTGAATTGATCTTGTAATTCTTAAGATTTTCATATATTAATAAAAATCTATTTTTCAAAAAAAAAAAAAAAAAAACCCCCTTCACAAGTCATATTTCTTAAAATGCAAAGGATACACATTTAAACAAAAAAATGCAAATCCAATTAACATTGTTTTCAAAGTCTAATGAAGTTTAATCAGCATCTCCAGATTGATGCCCACCCTTACTTCCTCTCCTTAGTATTCCCTTGAGCTGTGAAACTGTCTCTAAGGCCATTTCCGACTGTATTCCATAACCCTCAAACCTGTCCTAGTCGGAAGGAATGAAGTACTCAAATTTCATAGCACAACAGATAGTCCTAGTTCTCCTGTTACCCATTTCTTCTTCTGCATCTTCTTTGCAAACTTTT